CGCAGGACAACAGTACTGAAACGAGAAGGAAAATTTGAAACAAATCCTATACCAAATCGTCTGGCCAGCGTGGCATAGTAGGCCAAAACCTCCTTTCTAAGGAGAGTCCTATGTCCAGCAGTGGACTGTTATAGGCTGTTGATGTGATATGATACATCAGAAAATGAACAACATAAAAAAGTCAATTTTAATATTTAATATCTAGGAACTATGTTAAATAATAAATTACCAACTAATGTTATTATCTTTGTTTGTATTACATAAATTAATTTAAAAATATAATATAAACAAAATAGTTTCCTTGTTACATTATGGTTGTCCATTTGCATGAGTAACATTTTCAACTTATTAAAACATAACTACTCATCACAGACTTTCCTGAGTCGCGAACGCCGTTGACGACTTAAAGCGTCCGCCTATGACTTCATAGGCGACTGCATTATTAGTTGTAGTGTTGGGATTTAACGGTAGAAAAAAAATTGAATAAATTATAACATATCCTCGAGACATAAATTATTATGTCTACAAGAAGTGTTTTGTCTGAACACAATTTTGCGTTACATGTCGTTATTCAATTTTATAAGAATGAATGTGGATCATGACCTAGCTGCTTCGTGTATTTTTGAGGGTATCGATGATGTTAGTATCTATGATAACATGAGTAAATTGTTTATGTGACAAAATCAATATTTATAAAGACATTTATAATTAATAATGATAATTAAGTGGATGTGGTCATAAACGAGATAACACTGTAATTTAAAAAAAACATTTTTTTTATCATAAACTAAATAAGTTGTTACTTCGGTGTAATGATTACTTAGCTAAGAAGCGAGATGAAATATGGCTGAAATTTAATACCATGTACCCGTAGGATGAGCAAGGAATTGATAAACAACGGATAACACCACGGGGTGATTAGTTAAAAAAATATTTTTAAAATTTCGAGAGAACTACGTCTTTTAGGGCCGGCTAGTAAGAATTAAGTAAGGCAAGCTAATGTCTCATTTATACTAACATAATAATTAGATTTATCCAGTTTTTGGTTTTCCATTTGAAGTGCAAATTCTCTGGGACGATCACTCAAAAATGATTCTTTTCGTATTGGATACACCATTTATTGACGAATAGTATAGATAGACCATCGAAACCACACACACAGCGACGAGCTAGCAGTGACGACGAGCACACACACAGCGACAAGCTAGCAGTGACCAGATAAAACTGCGGGGAATAGATCGTTTATATTGTAATACGTTGATGTTATGCAAAACGTGTTCAATGAAACTCGCCAATAAATGAGCGTCCGACTTGGCAATTTTCAATTTAATTTTTTACTTTAATTTAGTGAACTTAAAGGTCAATTTTATGTAAAAATATGTGGGAATCAGGTCAATAGAAAACGATAACATGAACAGATTTGAAGTACATATATTATTATAAGAGTTGTATAGTGAAGATCTAATGATAGGACTAAACTACATTGGATGCAATGTAACATTAATTCAGCACCAAGATTGTTTTACGAATTTTCATAGTAGAAAAGAGCTATTGTATGTACGGTAAAAAGTCAACATTTCTACCAAAGATCTTTTCCACTATAGAATTAGATATTATTTCAACTACATGTTAGTAGAACCGTTTATCCTCTATAAATATAAATACCATTCACACAAGTATTTATTAATATATATAATGTCATATAGTATATTAGTTCATAAAATAGATTAGGTGGCCTGGTGGTGACATATTAAAAAAGAATTATTTTAGGAAAGGTTGTTTATACCTTCTGTAGTTTGGGATTGCGATTGGCCCATATCGCCAACCTGCAAGGAAAAATATCTTATCTCAATATGGCCATATTTGTTGAAGGGCATAAGAAAGTTAGAGCACTGAGGCTCAAAATGCAAGTATATGTTCATATCATAGTAGCTTGCTTGCATTAATATGTTAGTATCTTGCTTGCATGGCATGCAATAGATTGTAAAGTAAGAAGGTTTTGTGTTGGATTAATTTACAGTTTAGATTGGTTCCGGGCCTGAGGTCCTCTAATGAGATTCCCTACCTTTTTATTTAAGCCTATTAAGGCGATACTAAAAAACTCCGAGTCAATTTTGGCCAAATAAACAACAGCAAGTCTTTTCAAGTGTCTTGCTGAAAAGGGTTTTGTAGGGTCTGCATAAAGTTCTAAGTAGACTTATGTTGTATTGCATTTTTTTTTACTATATCATAGAGATGAAACAATTTATGAATGCTGTAAAAACAGGATTAATACATTTTATATGAAATAAAGTTTTAAATTTTACATAGCACAGTTCTAGTAAAACAAAAATTTTAAATTTTTGTTTTACTGTTAAAAAGTGTGTGAGAAACTGCCCCTATTTATAATTTTTACAGAGAACTGTGCAACTACGAGGCTGTTAATGTTTTTAATTTCATTTTACTCTTTAACTTATCTTCTTTATGGTTAATGTTTTTAAGGTAATTTAGGTGGGTTATGGAAGCATAATAGGTTGCTTCTATTTGTGGGATAATTTGGCATTGAAAAGGTGGCAAGTGGATTTTAATACTTGTTTATCGTAGAGGCCATGAGATTGCGTGACAGATTAGGCAGGCAAAACAGCAGAACAAGTCAGTAGAAGAAAAGCAAAAATGTGGCTGTGGAAACTTGAAGCTTGTGATTTACACAAAAATAACTAATTTTTGTGTAAATCACAAGCTTCTAATTTAGGACATGTCCTAACCATATTATATGTATACTAGCAGACCTGACAGACGTTATCTTATGCATACATTTTAAATTAGTTTTTTTTAATGAACCAAATTGTGATACTAACCAATTCTTGAATCCACTTGAACACACAAAAAATTTCATCAAAATCGATCCAGTTGTTTAGGAGGAGTTCATTACATACACACGCACAGAAGAATAATGTATATTAAGATTGTGAGCTTGATTACTACACTTTCATAACTTAACTGAAGGTTAATTCTTATTCAAAATTCAGCTCCGTTCTACCTTCAATCTTACAAATGTCATAAAAGGTATTTTCATGGTAAAGGTTTGTGTGTACGCTCCAAAAACTCAAAAAAATCTGCACCCATTGAACTCGAATTTAGACTAAGATTATATATTTTTAACCAAAATGCAATCACAATGTGTCACAGCGAAGCGTGGCAGTGTACAGATAGTTTCCTATATGATACAAACTGGAAAACTTTAGAATAGATAAAGTGACCTTGCATCAAATCACATACAACGAGAAGATTCATCATTGAAAAAGTGTGCAAAGGTAGGTTAGTTACAGCAATTTCAGCAGCAATAGTTTGAAATCCATAAAATGTGAATTTGCACCCTTTCAGACATATTATCACTTATCAATGCCGTTAAAATCTAAAATTGGCAGTATTTACTTTTACATCACTACATTATTGTGATCATGACATTACTTATGGTTCATAAATCTTAAGTAAAAAGTAAAATCTTTAAGTAAAACTAAACTCTTAAAATTAAACATTTAGGCAGTTTTTCAAGTCAAAATAATTAGGTGTTAACATTTGATAAGCGACAATAATGTACATGATTATATTTTAAACTGGGTGCACTGAGCCTGCCTAACGGAGTAGACTCATATTACAGACGTTATGTCCAGCAGTGGACATTAAAGGCTGTTTATGTGGTGTGCTGTAAAACATTAAGAGAAAAATTCAAGCGGACAGATCCTGGTCATAAATTTTTTGATAAACCTTCAAAAAGCTTAACATATTTCTATTATAAAAGTATCCTATGAGATAATTCAGGTAACAAACTGTGTCCAATTTTAGGAAATTACACCCATTCTAAGGAAAAAATTGGTATATCTTACACTTTCTGTGTTATTTACTATAATAATGAATTGTTGTAATGGTGAGGTCATGGCAACAATTGACCTACTTCTCACTATACTTACTAAACTGGCTTGCCCATAGAATATTATTGACCAATACTATATTATTGGCTCTATGGGAGATGCACACCTGTCCCCCTTTTTTATTTAATTTTAAAAAGTGACAGGTATCAGCTAACAAAATGCAGTAGGTTATATAAAAAGGTCCCTCGTAATAACTAGTTTAACAAGCTATATAGTAATATTATCAACGTTTAAAATAACCAATCTTGGTGAGCATTTTTATTTGCTTGTACTTTGCGCGCTTGGCAAGGCAACGTTGAAATCAAGCTCATAGAAGTTATGGTAGTTAGGGTGGAAGGCAACATGGGTTAAGCCCTTCTACGCAGCAAACTTCTTGAAAACTAACTACTACACTCACAAAAAATCAATTGAAAAAAAATTACTTGACTGTACAAGGTCACAACATAGCGTCCAATTATATGTAGTTATTTCCAAAGAAATAAGTATTTAACAAAAAAATTTGTTGAGATCTGTAAAAAAGTGAAATTATCTAGGTAGGTACTTACCAGATTTAGTAGATAAATATTAAACTTTTAGGACTAACACGCGGTGACAACCAATTCACCCACAGCGGACAGAATGACAGATTGCTCAATTGCTGTAACAATAGTGATGTCCACACACTCCACTAGTGATGTTTTATTTCTACTTTTAAATCATAATCATATGATGTGATTACACGGGGTCGTGGGTTCGCGACACCATGCCCTAAACTTTACTTTTTTTTGAGAATTTTTAAACTTTCCTTTTGAATATTAAAATAAGGCCATCTATTGGTTTCTAAAATACTTATGGTAACGTATTTTTTTTAGTGATTTTTAATTAATCATGAATCGATTGGACTGCTTCTGTTGGGTGTTTTACTTATAGGAGAAAAGATATATAACCACCTGGCAACACAAATAAAAAGTAATATAACTGACAGCTTGTATTGTAAAACTGACAAAACTCCGAATTTATAGTTGTCTGTTGACCGCAAAAAAAACTCGTCAAATTTGGAAATATTTTGTGTGGGAAATTTTGAATTACAACTACTTTATAGAAGCGAATATGGCAGCGAATATCACCGAGATTGGATCGCAAAAAGTGCGGCACTTAGTTAACGGAGAGGTGAGTTGAGATTCTGCAATTAAGTAATAATAATCATGAAAATAATTGAAATGGTGCAGCGCAATAGATATGTTTTTTCGTTGTTGTTGTTTATTTTAAGCTAATATTTGTTAGCGTAAAATCAACTCCTTTTATTATTGAATGTAATTCTTATAAAGGTTGGTTTGAATGGCTTGATTTCTAATTTCGTTTTTAGTTGCCGCTTGCAGACCTAGTCAAGTGTGCGTGATTTGTGATACTCATTGATAATATATATATATAATTATCTTCGGCTCTATTATTTTATTTTTTAGACACGTTTGGCTTGGAAACAAATAGTTTATTTTCAATTTTTTTTATGAAATTAATTTGATATTTAAGTTTTAAAATAAAGTTACAATGCAGATTTTTATTCAAATAATTTTTGAATCATTGGAAACTTCCTAAAATTCACACTTAATAAATATTTTCGATACAAATTATATTTGTAACACATTATAGATGTCTCTTTCTCTATAGCTGTTCTCTCACTTTTAAAAAAAAAATGACACTAAATTCTTTGTACTAATCGCATTTGTGATAATATTTTCGCTCTTTCCTTTCCTTAAAGAAAATTTTCCTAAAAGATTTTTGTAGGAATTCACTTTACTTTGGTTACTCTACTATGTTTTTGTGTAATATTGGACAATGACATGTGAGTTTTATATTGTAGTTAAGTAAGATAAGGTAGATAAGTAAGTTTCTAGGTTCACTTAAACCTAGAAACTTACTTATCTACATAACCAACCATATAACATTTCCACACAGTGTTAAGCTGCAAAAGCTTTATTTATGCTGTGAAACATACTATAACCGATATTATTAATTTCTGCCCATTATTTGCTGTTGTTTCAAACCATCAGCACATGGCTATTACTACAGCTTTGAGAAGGCCATGCACTGCCTACCATTATAGTCTGCTTCTGGGTGTCCCATTACTCATAGTATATTTTGCTCCATTTACCAAAAGCAACTTACATTGGATGTCCAGTTTCTTGTGTATTTAAATCAAGGTTAATGTATTATATGTTAAATGATTAATACATTAGGCATAGGTGGTCTACATCACAACATAAGATTTAATTAATATCTCGTTAATTGGTTTATTCGTCATCATTATCAGCCTATCACAGTCCACTGCTGGACATAAGCCTTTCCTATCGCACGCCACTTTGATCGTGTCCTTAGTTGGTTTATTACGAAAGCAAAAATACTGAGTTACATTAAATGAGTATTCGATAATGCATCGGCGTCAATAACGTGATGACATAGACGCGACTATAGAGTAGCATTATTCTGGTATGGGAAACCATTCGACGGCAGCGACAGTAATACTAAGACACTGTGAACAGACATAATAATTAGAATGACCTGTATCATAGACCACAGGAAGTGAACTTTACGCTTTCGTAATGCGAATATGCAGACGTCACACATACATATGTATTAGTGTATATTTATACACTCACGTATTTCTCCGTAGGTGTAGGCAGAGGTTTAAAAAACGTCAACATTTTGGCAAATATAGCTTTACTCCTACTGACGTGATAGCGTAATAGGGGGCAGCCCATTGTCGGCAGCCGGGCATTTTAGGGATTAGGTAAGGAAATTGATAGTATATCGTTTACTTCCCTGTTCATCTAACTTAAATAAGAATGTAAGTAAACGAAGGGAAGGGATACCTCTAACACAGATGAGGAATATAAGCTACTCGAACGGGTCAGGGCCATATACCTTGGGGCACCAGGGACTTCCTTTCTAGGGTATACCTGGTGCCCCGGCTATTAGTACCCGGCGACGGCGTGCGTTTTTAGTCGGTTCGAGTCCGACATGCCACCGACAGGTGGTATCCGAGGGGATTTCCGCACGGAAAAAAAAAAAAGGGCCATATACCTGTAATTCGACCTGTAAACTCACTTTCACATTTATAATATAACTAGCTGAGACCCGCGGTGTTACCCGCGTTTGTTGCTATAACCGCGGGCAATGCCGCGGAGCGAAGCTAGTCTAAAAAAATTAGCCTAAGTTACTCCTTATGTCATCAGCTATCTGCCAGTGAAAGTCCCGTCGAAATCGGTCCAGCCGTTAAAGAGATTACCCGGAACAAACAGACAGACAGACAAAAATTGAAAAAAAATGTTATTTTGGCATGTGTACCGTGTAAACATACATATGCATTTAGTAAAAAGCGGTTATTTTAATATTACAAACAGACACTCCAATTTTATTTATTTGTAAGATATAAGATAAGATTATTTTTATAGAAGTATGGAAGTATGAAGGTACATGAAACTCTTATTAAGTAATTTGCTTGGCTGCGATATAACAACGATTCGTGAATACCTACGACGTTTATAATGATGGTCTAGCCAAGCGTCAGTTTGCTTCAATATATTCTTTACCGATAAATCTGTTATTTAATCTAATGTCTACACAGTTTCGAATTAATGAAAAGATACTGAAAGAATAAAGTTATAAAATTTGGGATGCTACTTTAAAAATTAGAAGATAAAATATTTTCAAAACTACCTACATTTTTCGTCATAGTGGTAAACAAGTACATGAGTCATCTGATGGTTACTGAGGTAGTCACCAGTGTAATAGGAGTGGAATATTTTTATTATTTACCAACGAACAGACAGGTCACCTGAGGCCCAAGTGTAAGTTTATTTCACATCTTCTCGATCGTCACGGTGAGTGCGTTCGGCGCTTCGATTGGTCAGCACTGAAATCTGCACCAATCGCAACGTCGAACGCGCTCGCTGTCGAGAGCAAGTTGATGTAAAAACAACTTGCATTAGGACCTCTGATGGTGGTAATTGACTTATGCCGCCAAGGGTCACTTGGAACTCAAGAATTAGAAGTATGTTTAAAAAAAACTCCTGTAACCTCATTTCCTTGGTGAAATGCAACAAAAGCACTGCTAAACACCAGCTTTCTGTGAAGTCTGGTATTGGTATGGTATTACACTTGTGTGCCAAAAAATGACTCTCCCTCGGGTAAAAAACAAAACACTCAATGTGTCAATGCTCAACACAGCGATGATAATATAGTATTTGCCGTATTATTACTAAGACAGGTACACAAATATGATGCAATGCTTGGTGTAAACACTAGCATCTTACGCCAACGAGTTCTATTTCCGGATAATTTATTCCTAACATGCGATTTAACGTTTTGTGAAGCGTATAAGTGGGTTGTATTAAGACCATGTTTATAATATGAATAAAATATTCTATCTTTAGTAGAGGATACGCTACAACCATAAATAACGAAATTTCATATAAATTTCCAACCCCCATTTTGCACCCTTAGGGGTGGAATTTTTAAATATCTTTTTATAGTGCACGCAGTACGTCACCTAAGGAACATTTGTGCAAAATTTCATGCTGCTAGACCCAGCGGTTGCAGCTGTGCGTTGATCGAATCAGTGTGTCAGGCTTCTTTTATATATATAACTAGCTGAGACCCGCGGTGTTACCCGCGTTTGTTGTTATAACCGAGGGCAACGCCGCGGGGCGAAGCTAGTCTAAAAAAAGTAGCCTAAGTTACTCCTTATGTCATCAGCTATATGCCGGTGAAAGTCGCGTCGAAATAGGTCCAGCCGTTCCAGAGATTACCCGGAACAAACAGACAGACAGACAGACAGACAAAAATTGTAAAAAATGTTATTTTGGCATATGTACCGTGTAAACATACATATGCATTTAGTAAAAAGCGGTTATTTTAATATTACAAACAGACGCTAGGAAGGAGGCTAGAAATAAATCAAGAGATCAGAAAAAACAAAACCATAGATTTATTATTCCTACTACCCAGAGGACACGACGCGGTTAAACATTGTGCAACATTTTATTTTCTAGAATATAGTATTTACATATTTTTTTCAAGAATATTGCACTTTAGATAAATGAAGACGATTTGATAACCTGTAGCCTTTCTCTTTGCTGTATGATAAGAAGTCCCTTTGTTTTATTATGTTACTTAGTAAATAATAAAATTATTCTTTGTTTATTTAAAAACTAAATAATTACTAGCTGAACACAAGTTTAAAACAAAACGCAAAGTTTAGACCAATTATGTTACAGCGTAGTGGTCGCCGTTCTACACTGCAGCTTAATTTACATGAGATTTTAATTATTTTTTCAATTTAAAACAAAGTATATGATGTAAAGCTGTAAATGTATTTCTCAATCATCGATCTATTACTATTCCAGTTAAGTTTTAATGAAAGAAATGCTTTTTTTTTTTAAAGATATCGCCCAGACTAGGAATATATCCTGTGTCCCAGCGGGACAATCATACATGAAACGGATATAAAGAACACCTAGACTTAGAACAACACTTTGTGGATCACACAAAATGTTCTCACAACTCAGCGCAGTAGGAAGCAGTAGGTGACTGCTTAAACCACTACGCCATTCATGCAGTCCGTGCTTATAATTGATTCAAAGAACAGTGTTATTAATAACGTAAATATGTCTTGTATTGTTTGTTTGTTTTTTAGCTACTGTCTTATGGTTTTTATACTCAATACTTATTTTATTGCGTTTCACAATGTTTTCTTAGCAGGTAGACTTTAAATTAGTTAAAATTGTGAACCTTCTAAGGTACAGCAAAGTAGCAGTGACAAATGTGGGCTGACTTAACAGGAGTCTGCGTCCTCACAGGAAACCACAGAAGTAGTAATAATTTATTATTATGATTTCCATTCAAAAATGTTAAACAATTCGTGGCTTTTCACCAAGGGAGTGAGGCAACCGTTACCAACCCAAAATTTGCCAAACCAACTGCGATGATCGCATTTAAACAAACTCTTAAAATATGTTAATTATGCATAATGCAAAAATGGAATATTACTTGTATCTACTGCATATAAATGGCAGTTAATTGAATTGCAAAATATTATGTTAAGTTGAGAGTTGTGTGTGTTAAGTAAAACTTTAAACGTTGATTTACATAATTCAAATGTGCTATGCTTTTTGTTCACCGACATCAGAAAGGATAAGGTTTATGATATAAAAGGGATGAGGATGATAATCGAACTAAAAATAATAAAAAATATTTATTTTCTCACGGCAGAATCGTAAACATTACATCTTAAAATGTATATATAAAAAGCCTTAGTATTATATATATAAAACCTTTTCTGTAAAAATAGTCCTGAAGCCTGGCCTGTTGGTCTAGTAATTAGTGACCCTGACAGATAAGCAAGAGGTCGTGGGTACGATTCCCTTCCAGGACAAAAAATTGTGTGATGAACACGATGATTTGTTCTGAGTCTGGGTGTAGTTTATCCATAATCATTAATATGTATGTATGGTGTCCGCTGTCCTTATATTGTACGGTGTGGTGACGGATTAAGAATAATAATAATTTCCATGTCTAATTTAGAAGTATATTAGTATGTACATCAGCGGTTTTCTCGCTGTAGTACACAAACTCTGCCTAGTTTGGGATCAGACTGCCGTGTGTGAGATGTGTGAAGTTATTATAAGCAATGCTCAAGGCGACGACCGCGGTTACAGTTGATATACCAGTATTAAGTCATTTATTATTCTACATCGTCTTCACGTTTTAAATTTCAGGTAGTGGAGCTCAAGAGTTTTTGGGAGAACCAAAATGTGGCCATCGTTTTCTTTCGTCGCTGGGGCTGTATGCTCTGCAGGCTGTGGGCTAAAGAGGTACGTTATTATCCCGTAAAGCGGGTCGTATGCTTCTTTACAACCATTAGTAGTTATACATATACATATAAATATATTATCAGTACATTCTTGTTTATTTCTCAATTTTATTTGTGGGCAATAATACGTAATATTTCTAAGGGTGTGTGAAAAGTTTCTTTTGAGGCCTGCAGCTTGTTTCACACCAACCTCTTTAAGAAAGTAATTATTTCAAAACAGACCAGAGCAAGAACGTTAATTGGTATAAGGAAAATGCGAGGGAGATAGGGCAAGGGTTACCAGAAATCTTGGATAGGAAACGAGACAGAGTCTGTAGGCCGGGGTCGCTTATCTATTAATTCCGTCCTGTGATTAAAGAGTTGTCTTAGTGGCCATTTGGTCAGCGATATCTACTGACCTTGAAAATTCTATGGAAAAATTATTTCACGTGTATTTAGTAATTACCTATGACAACTACTTGTATTGATATGCGTATTTTTATCTTACTTGTGTACTCGATAAACTATGTTTTGGTGGCAAGATAAATATGTAATACTAACTGTGGCTAGACTTGCTAGCATGTTTGTATAGCAATTGATCGATCGAATTGATTGTCGAGAGCACGTCATAGATTAGAAGCGATTAACATCGTTTTGAATAGTTTGACTGCCTTAGGAGTTCTATGATCTAGTCCTTTTTTTAATGGTCTTTATCGTTATTAAAACCTAAATAAAAAAAATTGTTGGAATTTTCTCGAATTTTTGTAGTAATTGCAAGAACTTTTTGATGCAAGATCGTATTTAGGACTCCATGTTAATGGATTATTCCTCTAATTCCATTGATATGATATTATAATCATCATTATCTAATAAATGGTGACATTTGAAAATACGGCTCGAACTTAAGTAGGTAAATACTCGTATATATCTGTAAAACAATGAGAGATACCATTAACCATAAGTCGTGTCTTATCTGGTATATTTTAAACACAATGTTGTTTTAAAAAGTCCTGCTGTTGCTACTTTATAAAAAACAAGCTAAAATCCTTGGCAACCGTTTGTGGTCGGGGTACCACAAACTAAATTAGGGATGGAGTAGGAAGATAGTGTTTTTTTTTAATGAGTACTGTGTAAGCAGTGTTCCGTACCTCGGTTGAATGGATGACATCCATATATCGCTAAGGATGTTTCGACATCCATTTAGCAGAAGGCCAATTCTCGTAATAAAAGTTCGGTTACAATTAAGTTCCGATCAACACTCGATATCGCACGAGAATTGGCCTTCTGGTCTGCTAAATATTTCGATCGTAAATTGTTCTACGTTCATTAGACCAATACTGTACGCGTGATAACAAATAACAAAACATTTTGTTTTGGTATGCCAATACTTTCAATGACGCGATGCCGCCGCGCGGCTGTGGCTGCAGTAGCAATTTGAAATTTAAAAAAGAAATCATTTGAATTTTACCGTGCAATACTACAGCTAATTCAATATTAGATGGTGTTTTTTATCGACGATATCTATCGTAAATAAAACTGTCTGACATTCTGTTATTATCGTATGAATTTCAGTTACTAAGATAGTATTTTTATAACACTGATAGTACGATTGAGTGCTTTACTAAGAGGATTTGCAGTATTTTGTTATTCCGTTGAAGTATTAAAAAGTTTCTGGTACTCATTACACCTTTAAAACCGTAAGAGTGTAGACGTAGTCTTTGCACCTTCTTAAGAATGACATGATCACATGCTACGAGTATCTCGCTCCGATAATCATCATCATCATCATCACCAACAGCCTTTAATAGTCCACTGCTGGACATAAGCTTCTCCTTAGAAAGGATATGCCACGAACAAAATATCATTTATGATATACCTACCATGTCCATGACATTACATCTATATATCATATATATATACGAACACTTTGTATTTTTGGTATCAGTGATACCAAAAATACAAAGTGTTCGTATAGTTAAATAGACTAATACATATACTAGGTTTCGCACGCATATTCACTCGCGGTAATGTAAATTTTTTCAATATTTTTTTTTTCAAATAAGTTCCTGGCTTGATTTTCAAAAATTCATATCCCACATCCCAACTTACACATTTATAATATTGGTATAAATTACATAGTTAGCTGAAAGTTCCTAATTCTTTATCTTCTATCTGTTGTATCTATGATCATTTTCTACAGTCCACGCAGGAGCAGAAACTATTTACGTTAAATCTCGTATTATTATGATCCTATTATTAATACAATTGTGGAAATCATAAAGAGCTTGATATTTCTAAACTTAAAAACACGTCTAATTCTTACTATTGTTCTCTCTGTAAGTCATTTAGTAATCATTATCATACTAGTTAAGACCCATTTCAGTCGACTGAATTTCAAGGTGACAAGGACTTAGGACGGCTCCTTGTCAAGACCGTTTCCCTAAATTACTTAATTATTAATTATTAATTCTTACTATTTCTTGTTCTTCTACCCTCTGTAAGCATTTATTATATCTCCAACACCTCCAATTTACTTTTGATTAATTTTGTCGTAGGCTCCTAGACTTCCCGAATGTCATGAGTCACTGCTGTTGTTCCTGGTGTACAGACATTACGATTTTTTACTATTCCATTTAACCTATTATCTAAATATTTTCAGCTAAGTGAAATCGCCCCAGTTTTGAAAAAACACAACATAAAGTTGGTTGGCATTGGCGTAGAAGAGGCTGGCTCTAAGGATTTCATCAATGGAAAATACTTTGACGGAGGTGAGCATGAATGGATCAAGTCGTCTAATTCGTTTGATCATGTGATTATGTTTCAATTAATTGAAACTGTAAATGATAAATAGTTGTTTACAAAACCCTTAATATCAATAAATTCATGACGGATTAAGAGTGTAACCACCCCTCTATTCATCCCTTGGGTGTTGTAAGAGCCGACTATGAAAGTCTGCAGAAAGTCTCAAACTCTGCAGAACAACAGCACTGCAAAGAGAAGACAAACTTGAAACAAAATTAATACAACCCGTTTGGGCAGCGTGGTATAGTAGGCCAAAAGCTCCTTTCTAAGGAGGTTTTGGCCTACTATACCTTTTTTATGTCCAGCAGTGGACTATTAAAGACTGTTCTTGACGATGGTGACAAATACATTCTATTGATCTATGCTAAAAATACCTTTAAAAAATAATTACCGACTTCAATTATTCACCTACCTACACAATGAATTTTATAAAACTATTCTTCATTCCTTAATTTTTCCAACTCTGAGTGTCCTATGGGAGGGTAGAGGTAAGGAGAACTGACTAATATGGGAGGAAAGTTGAAAAAGTGTTCAGCTATAAAAACTAATAAAGAGTAACTAATAGTTCAAAAACCGACCAGAATAGCGCTAGTGTGTCAACGGGAATGACATGAACATAGCAGTTAAATAAGAAGTGAAGTTTGCTGAGTAAAATCTTAAAATACTTTTACTGTCTGAAAGTTATTACACGATTATTTATTGTCTGTAAAACTCATTGCCTATTTTCGCAGTGTAGTACACAGTGTCAAAGTATTATTTAAGCAAATAATAAATTAGGCAATTATAATTTCAATGTTTAATCTGTATCCTAATCTAATAATCTTTGGCGCTTTCTTTAAAAATATAACTTGATGCTACTGCAGCGCCTCCAATTTAAAGCATTTTGACGACTCTAAAGCGTGTCCGGTGAATGAATCTAACCTTTGTACGAAATGTAGTTTAAAATAAACCCAATAGATGTCGCTCTAATCGTGACGTCATTTTGTAAATTACGGTGTTAAGAGTCTCCACTGTTGGGTTAGGTTCGCCTGTTTCCAGTAACGTTGTAACTCTGGTTTCCCTTCATAACGTATAAATCTTTCGCCTTTTACTAAAGATTTCCGTGGAGGGGAACACTCAAATGAGTCTTTGATATTTTTTGAATGCTTCATTTCGGTGAAGCTTGTAAACTGATGTATTAGTAATTATCTGTGGATTTGACCCCACGTGTGTTGCTATTAACTTATAAAACCAAATATGTATTCATAACAAATATTCATGATTTTAAATGTTAACTCTTTGAGTAACAAAGCGTATTATTCCATAAACTAATATTTCGTCATAGTCGTAGAATAAGTGTCGGATCTGACATTTATTGAACTTCACAAGGCAGCCATTTTAAATAATGATGTTATTTTTTGATATAACTTTTATAAATCCAAATCTGTTATTATGAAAATTGGCATACAAGTATAAAATAGGGTTTATTTTAAAATGCAATAGAAATAATAACAAATAATTGTACAATTATCTAGAAAAATCACATGATTCATTTTACTTTGAGCGCCTATCAAACAAACACTGAATAATTTAAAATCTGAAATACATACAAGTTTTTCTTGAATGTAGTAATAATATTTAGACTATGTAGTATCCAAATATGGTAAAAACTGAATTTCGTATTTTTTTCAAAACTGACATTATTCTACAATCATGACTATTTCAATGACCATTTTTAATACTATTAACATTAATTGATCATTTTACTATAAATATTAATTACCTTTCATTATTATTACTTAATTTGACCTGAAACTTTTGAGGACTAAATTATTTATACTTGGGTATATGACTGTTTATGAAAAATAATGCCCCTTCGTTTGAATAATTATGTACTCTTAGAATATTTAAAGGTGCTAATATTTTGTATGCCTATCGGCGGGACATACCTCGCACATAATAAAATTGACTTCTGTAATCACTTATGTATCACAACATTAAATAAATCACATCACACATCACATCAACAGCCTTTACTAGTCCACTGCTGGACATAGGCCTCTCTTAGAAAGAAGGTTTAAATAAATAAATGGATTGAATTGAACCTTAAAAGTATCTGATAACTTCTGTCTTACACTTTTCAACATTATCGCTACTATAAGCAGCTTGACATCATCTTTTAGACATTTAATTGTGATTGTGCAGCTGCACTAGAATTGGGGCTTAATGTATGTATAATGGCTTTAACTTCATCTCCGTGAGAGTTCAAAATATGTAAGAAGTACACAGAACTTCAAAATTGCAAAACAGTTTGTAAATTGTTTTTATAAAAAATAACATGGTTTTTGTTACTTCTATCTATATTACGTGATTTTTGTTTATGCATAAGAAGTACAATATTTAACAAAAAAAAAAATACAGGTAGTATTTTTTCTTCAAATTTGAATGAGACCAAAAGCGAATATAAATGAAAACAAATAATTTCCAAATCGGTTCATAAACTAGTTCTGGGGTGAGAAAAAAAATACAGCCGACTTGAGAACCCTCCTTTTTTGATGTCGGTTACTTAAAAGTCATTTAAGTCGTTTAACTGAGGGTAGTAGTAGTTTGGTTTGTCGAATAGAGAACGTTTAACAGCATCTGGTAGTTCTCTAATTTCTACGAGTACAATCCGATCTGAATTTCTGTTAAAATTTACGAAATATTCGAGGTCCATTTTCGATTATATGTTTAATATATTGCAGAGCTATACTACGTAGACAACTTGTCCACGTACCAGCTACTCGGCTTCAAACGCTTTAATGTCGTCAGCATCATCTCATCACTTTTCTGGAAGCAGTCCAGAGATGCTATCTTTAAAGGACGTGGCATGGGTAAGATGCATTTATAATTATAGACTAGAATCAGAAATTTGCTGTCGGGACTCTACAGGGGTCCAGGTTCAATTCAAGTATGCTTAAAAATCAAGGGCTTTCCGTTAAATGGGTGCCGGAGATGGTGACAAACCCTTTGCAGATTGCACATATTTCCGTCTCTTTTCACGAAGTCACAGATTGCAGGAAAGCATTATTATGTAAATTTTCAATAATATGTAATCAATTTTTCAATTATTTGACTAAATTGTGAGCTAAATAATCCTAGTAATATATTTGATAGACTAGATGATGAAAGTATCTGGATTAAATATGATTTTAATTATTAATAATATTTTTTTACTAATATCTTGAGGGATAAATTTAGTTATTAAAATAATAGCCTGGCCTTGGATTATTAATATGTCTAGATAGTGTCATTATAAAACAAACCGACCAACTTTATTAAGCTGGTGTGCGTGTATTAAGTGTTTAAAGTGACAACTCAGCTGTCACACAGAGACAGTAGAAACGAATTTATGGCCACACCTACCGTTTTACAGCTTTTAAACTGTATCAAGACATATCAATGATCTAATAACCTGGCAATATGGCAGGTCTGGAATCTGATGTAATTGGCGACGGAATGCAAAATGGCGGCGCATTACTAGTACTAAAAGGCGGGAAGATTATTTACCACTACCTGGCAATCGGACCGGCCGATCGCTTACCGAACACGGAGATTTTAGAGGTTATTTTAAAACGATACAACTATGGGAAGAGCGCTAGAGACATTGTTTAAATATCAAAATTATAGTGTGGCACAGTACGATTGGTAACGCCAAATTTCCACTTTGCCTTTAAAAATTCATTTATTAGTTTTACTTGTAAGCTATGCAAACAACTCTTTGAAATAATAAATTTATGTAGTACATATACTTACCGGAATTAACTCGATCACTTAACTGGTTTGTAAATGTCAATAGCTTCTTTATTATAAATTATTATTATTAATACAATACAATATACAACACCATATATAAACATTAATTAAATCTAGGTTACACATAAATATAAATAACACCATAATTTAGATATTGTGGGGAGACTGGTACCTAAGTTAGGCTTGTATTTATAGGATACCAGGTGTTCACCTCATATACATTTAATATGTACTTTATAACGAAAGCTTGCAGTAATGATAGCATTCATAATTGTATCAAAAAATTATTGAGTACATAATTAGGTTGCACTAGCCAGAGTTATAGTAGGCCAAAACCTTCTTTCTAAGAAGAGGCCTATATCGAACAGTGGACTAGTACAGGCTGTTGATGATGATAATGAAGATGAGCCAGAGTTATAGGTTGACAATCATTTAAGCGTAGTAGGGCGTTTCGGGACAAATACAGCTAGACCACAGCGGCCACAGCCACAAAGTAAACCGGTGTTACGCAATTCTTTCTCTGTATATTATCGACTGAGTGATTTTACTCAAGGCCCAAATTTCTTTTGGCGTAGAATGTTTTTTGCTTAGTGCGGTTGGCGTAGTGGTTTAAGCGGTCACCTCGGCGCTTTCTACTGCGCAGTGTTGTGTGTTCGTTCCCACACAGCACTTTGTACGATCCACAAATTGTTGTTTGTAAAGTCCCCGCGGCACAAGATATATTCCTAGTGCGGTTTGTTGTTGGTTTTTTTTAAGGAAAAGTAAATAAAAAAGAATTCTGTAATAAATAGATTTGTTGTTCTAAGGCCCATAGTGGAAGAACTGCGTAGTTTGACCTGATTATTATGCGTTAACCGGCATATTATTAATATCAAATTATCTTCTATCTATTACGTTTTTGAGTTTTATAGTAAATCCTGAACTGAAATCTAGTTTTAATTATCACAGTCAGAACACGATGAACACGTGTTATACGTCGACTTGGATATAATCTATAAATTAGGTGTTATGTGTAAACCTACAATGTAAATAATTAAAATACGAACGCGGAAGATCGTTGTACTATAGAGGTCTATATCCAGACCCATGGGCCTATGAACCATAGGCTAATTGATTAATTGATGATTTTAACATGTTGAGTTATAACGATTATATATTATATTATATATTATATATTTATATATATTATATATTATATATATATTATTTACTTATATATATATTATATATATTATATTATATATTATATATATTATATATATATATATATATATTATATATATATATTATATATACGTTATAATATATGATATATATTTATATATATATGATTATAACGTTTATAACGATTATAACGAACGACTGCACGGATGGCGTAGTGGTTTAAGCGGTCGCCACGCCGCTTCCTATTACGCCGAGTGTTGTGGGTTCAAACCCCACATGGGACAACACTTTGTGTGATCCACAAATTGTTGTTCTGAGTCTGGGTGTACTTTGTGTCCGTTTCTTGTATGTTTGTAAAGTCCCCCGCGACACATGATTTATTCCTAGTGCGGGAGTTGTCTTTTTAAAAAAAAGAAAAAAAGAAAAAGAAAGAAAAGATTTGTTTGTAGTCAAAAAAAGAATAGTGTATGGCAACACATTTCGGCATTATCAATATATATTTGAAACACTAAATATCTCGGCGTTCTTTCCATAGTTGTAGCGTAGTATTTTTTTTTGTAATATTAGGGTTAGGTGGTGATTACAAAGGAGATTGGGGACAAACGGGAGGTGCCTTGCTGGTCGGAAAGGGCGGGAACCTACTCCGCCAGTTTGTACAAACTGGGCCCGCCGATCATTTGAGCAATTTGGAGATTTTAAAGGTTTGTGGTTTTTAGATGCAATTCTCGCAATGAAAATAATTATTTATCATGATATCCCTGAAGAAAGCTTCTATTGTTTATGTTATTTAACTATTTATTAGCAGTAATATTAAAAAAAATAAAACTCGTGAAAAGACTGTCTATTTCCATTAGATATATTGGCTTATAAGACAGGATACAAATAATGGGGGAAGAGTCAAACAGGCTGGCTTATTAAATCGTCCTAAGACGTATTGCAGTATAAAAGATTTAAAAGAAACGGACATGTTACACTCCCCTTATTACCGATCCTGTATCTGGTTGTCAAAATGATTAGACAGGCTAGAAGAGGTAGGTGGCTAGATAGAAAGGTACTTTTTTTTTACACACCATGGATAGAAAAATTACAATACCAACGAAAACAAAAAACAGTGGTATAATGTGCGGGCTTATCACAGTCTGCGTTCTCTTACAGGCAGCTTTAAATTGACTATACTGTAGCGTACAATGTATGTAGTTTGTGATGCGCAATTGGAATATACATTTATTAATCAGTATAAAATGACATTGCTATACATATACAAACACATATACATAGTTCTTACAGTTATAAATAGTGATCCTTGTGAAATAGTTTCTTAAAAGCATTCACTGACTTTGCCCGCCTTAAAGCTTTCGGTAAGGAATTCCATAGGCGTGCTGCTTGAACTGTGAAAGATGTATTAGTAATAGTTGTAGTGTGTTGGAATTTCTAGTGTCAGATTTTCTGATGATCATGGATAAATGCTAATCGTTTGTTTCAATAAATAGGAGTTGCAGGATTGAATAAAATATTATATAGTGAAAAAAAGGATGTAAGTATTTAGGCGAGGACGAATTGGAAGCCTCTTGAGTTTTTACAAATTTGCGCAAGCCAAAGGTGAATCTTATACAGAAATTCTGAAGTCTCTCAAGTTTATCGAATTGTTCCTCGTTCAGATCAAGATATGATTAGCTATCCCTATAACCCATAGCCTCCACGTTTTTGAAGCGTGCGTTTGGAAAAGTTTTAAGCCTAGACTGTTAGTATAATAATTATTTTTGTTTTCCAGAACTTTGGTTTGGAGAATGAGTATAAACCGGAGACCATGGCTAACAAGAAACACGAAGAGGCTGAATGTGCTGTGCCAGCTGTATGTATTGACTTTATTTGATATACTTATATTTTAGTCGCATAGAAATAGAGTTTGTTTTTGTTTGAACTCGTATCTCTGGGACCGGTGGTATGAAAAAAATCAGACCCGAAAAGATTGGTGATTATAGGGTATGTAACATCACTTTACTTCGTCTCAGAAGCGGATTTGTGTCCATAAACGCGGGTGAAACTGAGGGTTATGATAGTAAAGGGCTGGTTTAGGCACCTGGTTTACCTCACTTACTCTGTGAAAAACAATGACATAATAATAATATTTGGCACATATGCCATACAACGCCATCTAGTTTCAAACTAAGCAGAACTTGTACTATGATAACTAGATCGACTGAGAGCATACTTGTATACATTTTTTCTCAAAATACATACATATTAAACATAGAAAACACTCTAACTCCGAAACAAATATTTGAAGATCTGAAATGTAAGTAGAATCACTCCGAGCCGCCAAATTAATGGGTTACATATTTGGTTGCCAATCTCTGTTTGTTAAGGCCTCATGTCATATAATGACCTATTTCATGCATTTTTGATGTAGATCCATTGTAGTTAGAACAACTAATATACGTGTTACAAATTCTCAATTTTCCAGACAGAAGGTTAGTTCCAAGACATGGCTGCGGAACCTTCAAGAGTTTTCTATAGCTCCTATCCACTCCATCTGGACGGAACGGCGGTGCAAGAACAACACATGGGTGTAGGAACCAATCCATTGATAGTTTCGTTCGACTAAAACAAATACGAGACTGAACTAAAGCCGTAATAGATATGCGGTTTTAGGAATAAAAGATAAAAATGTATAAAAAATGATATTGAGGTACAAAGTATCTAAATGTGATAACGCGTTAAAAATGTTAATTAAATTTTATAAAGGAGTATTATTTTTTCAAAATTTTTATTATATTAGGTAAGTTGTAAATTTGAATCTATTGATTTTTTTTATTCCAAAGAACAAAGTTCCTATAAAAAAAGGTTAGAAATAGGTTTGAGACAAACCCATTTCTACTAAAAAAAGTGTTTCTACCAAAGTGGTATGTTTGGCTTTAATTTTGGCAATGTATTTCTGAGCACAGAAGGTTCAAAAAATTTTATTATATAAACAAAACCGTCAATGGATTGGATGGATTGCGTTTTGTAAGAAACGATATTTGTATGGTTTTATTTTTTATTAGTGTCTTAATTTTTTTAAATATATTTTTAGTATTTAAATAATAATTAAAAATTGTATAACGTCGAAAATTTATGCATAGTTTTGGTACTACGAATTGCATACTATGTCAAAAATATAAAATGGTGCTTTCTGAGTTGAGGCTATTTTTGCTCCTGTTTCAATACGTAATAGCAAACGAGATAAATCGGATTTTGCTTGTAGTCAAGAAGACTAAACCTACCCTTCAATATAATATAAAACTTTAAGATTACTATTAGTGTCCGTGCTTGTCTAAATTGTAATATACTGTCTTTTTTAGGGTTCTGTACTTCAATAGGAAAAACGGAAACCTTATAACATCACTTTCTTGTCCGTCCGTCAAGACCCTTTATCTCGGGAACGAGTAGAGGTATCTAGTTGAAATTAATATATTTTAATTATATGGACCACTAGCTGACCCGCGCAACTTCGTCTGCGTCTCTTAATAGTAATAAATTTTCTCCGTTATTGAAACGTTCTTCATTAGTGCTCCGCTCCTATTGGTCTTAGCGTGATGATATATAGCCTATAGCCTTCCTCGATAAATGGGCTACCTAACACTGAAAGAATTTTTTAAATCGGACCAGTAGTTCCTGAGATTAGCGCGTTCAAACAAACAAACAAACAAACAAACAAACAAACAAACTCTTCAGCTTTATAATATTAGTATAGATATAAAGTATATGGGCCAGCTCGACCGGAGTGACGACACGGCTCAGAGTAAACGTGGTTTAAATGACTTGCATTTGACCGAGGAAATGAGTTTCCTTTAGGTCCAAGCCCCTTTCCTAATTGGTTGGGGCGACGGCAGTAACACACTTGTATCTTTTGAATCGGTAGATGTCCACGGCCGTCGGTTGTCACGTAACATGAGGTGACTCATCTATTTGCCCGTTATCCCATAAAAATGACTATATTTAGAAAGCCATATTTTCTGAGGACGTTAATCCCTTTCCCAAAGGAGAAACAGTTGCCTCAACTCTGTTACACCTTGCCATGTTCAAGAGACTATTTAAAAAATAAATTCAAATTAAAAATTGTAAATAATAAAATATGTTTTGTATAGTAATTCTGTTTGGCATTATTGTTGTTAGGATCAAAATTCAAAATGAAATGGCCGGTAAGGTAATAAGGTGACCCATCTGTTCGCTTATTACCATAAAAAAACAAAACAGCAAATGTTTATATTGTTTGTAAATCCAGAATTTATGCATAAAATATATTGGGTTCGGTACGATGATATTTTAAGAAAGATACGTTATATTCACACTGCACGCACAAAATATTTGTTCCGTAACCACTATACGAGTACATTCATCTATTAATGCATTTTAGAACAAAACATTACACTTACTTGTGGTATCATGTTCCTTTATCTTTATTTACCTTTTTGTCGTAATTTGTGCACTTTCAGAATACACAGGCAAGCATTTTATTAATTTGCATGAATTATTTAGTATGTGCGCTCGCTCGCAGTGGTCCTAATTAGGACCCTCGCGTTTTGTGCGTTGATGGCGTATCTACCTCTTGTTTGTATGATATCATTGGTTCGGTATAGATGTAATGATTAAAATTTTATTTGGAGCGTTTTAAATATTAACCATTCAAAATACATGCTTTTTATATAATTTATTCAATGAAAAGCTCCACCGGGGTGGTACCACGGTATATTGGTGTTAAGCTATTCCTTCGTTGTTTTTCACCTAGTGAGTGAGTCAGGTTACCGGTGACTCCTCTAAAACCTGTACCTAGACCCAAAGGGCGGTAACTCATTTGCATTTTTTAAGTTGCACATGTCCTTGAGCAGTGGTAGTCACTTACCATCCGGTGCCCCTATATAGCTCCCTATACCATAAAAAAAGACTTGATATAAGAAGCATTTATTTGTTTAAAATTGCCATCCGAAATCTCTAGATGTATTTCTTTAATAATTTCCATAGTAAAGGACTCGACTTTTGACCTACATTTAAGGCTATAGGCCTTAAATATAGGTCAAGAGTTGAGTCTTTAGAGGTTTAATTTAATACACTGGAGTTAAAGTGATAATTTTGCTTTGTAAGGTACTAAAAATAATTATTATAAAATTGTTATCAATCATAGAAATTGATTTAAGCTTCTAATTATTTATAAAGTATTAAAAAATTGGCTGTACATGATAAAACTTATTTAAATTAAACATATGCCGAGTCCGCTTCTGTTTCATTCGATATATTGAAAAGAACTTATAACGGAGAAGTACTGTAAAACTGTCGTGTTAAAATTCGATTGTATTTACATTTTGTTTTGAATTATTTTACGAAACATAAAAAATCCTATTTGTTAACTGAAGAAGACTGAATGCTTTGTATTGTTTTGGATAAAATTAGTTTGGTTATGGTTGAACTGTATACTAGAATAGAGCGTTGTATTCCGCCCCATATCATGTTATTACAATGCACTAAACATTTATAAAATATATATTTTTACGTTATAATAGTTGTTTTATTTCTACCGTCTAAGTAAGAAAGTAAGCTTATTGTTAATCTTATTCTATTATACTCCGTGTGGAGACGGATTCAGATAACAGAGTGTCACAACCCCTATTTATCCCGTGGGTGTCGTAAGAGCCGACTAAGGGAAAAAAATTACGCAGAACAACAGCACTGCAGAGAGAAGGAAAACTTGACACAAACTCGATACCAACTCGTTTGGCGGCGTGGTATAGTAGGCCAAAACCTCCTTTCTAAGGAGAGGCTTCAGCGTCCAGCAGTGGACTCTTAAAGGGTTTAGGATGATTCCGTTATACTAAGAACTGTGAACGCCAGAATTGAGGTAGGCACTCAATAAAGGCCTTTTTTTGAGAAGCATCTTTTTTCCTGTAATTTTAGAATCAGCTAAATAATTAAGAAGTTATACTGTTCATGATCACACTGAACAATGAATTGTCCTATAATGATACCTAATTCAATTAGCAAGCTAACTTAAGGCGGAAATCAAGAAGGGGCTTCAGCACTTCTTCACACCAACAGCTTTTAATAGTCCACTGCTGGCAATGGCCTCTATAGAAAGGAGGTTTAGGCCTACTATACTATACGGGTTGGTATAGGGTTTGTTTCAAGTTTTCCTTCTTTTTGCAGTGCTAGTGTCCTGCGTTGTTTTGCGCTCTTAGTCGGCTCTTACGACACCCACTGGATGAATTAGGGTAGTGACATTCCGTATTCTTAACCCATCACTACACGGACAAGCCTGATCACTTAGCAGTGCCTTTTAACGAAACTGAGTACTAGTACTTGTATATACCTAGTTAACTTTTTCTCTAACTTAGAGAATTCTTTTTATACCCTACTCACGAGAAGGATTACATCACCTCTTGCGGTGTTTTTAATGCTCTTCTATAGAAAGCGAGTACTTCTTTCAGAGTAGTTTCAATTCAATAGATAAATTATGTGCTAAATAATAATTAGTATACCTATACTAATTAAGAGATGCAATATTGCAGTAACAATAGACAATCATTTTGGATATTGAAAATAGAATGCGGTAGAAAGCGCTGGTCTCGTCTATCTAAACCTTAGGTCATTTATTTATCAATAGCAGTGACTATCTTTTGTCTGAATCGCGGACATGTGAAAAGGTCAATTAGCAGATGTTAATTATGTAGGTATAATAAGAATTGTTCGAGATCATATCCAGACCTCATGACATAAACGCGTGTAGTCAATATTGATAATACTACGCGTACGATAAAAACAATTATCATTCGCAATTAGAAATTTGAGGAATGAAGACATGTTTTTTGTTATCTGTGGTCGAAGTCACCGTTCTTATTAGGATTATATTTGACTTAGTGCTTAATTAAATTAGTTCGAAGTAACGTTTGGTGTTATTATAGTGAATTAAACTGTGATAAATAAAGGAATATTACACTGTGTAAGTATTTTAAATTGCTGTGGAAATGTTTAGATGTGATGATTAAGATTCATTACAATAGTCGAATTTCAAGTCTAAGACAAGACTATTTAGTCCAACTTATTTGTGCTAGAAACCAAACCCCGAGAAGTGTTTTGGGGGAAACCCGATTAGTGCAGGCCCGATGGGGGGATCTTTATCAAGAGGTGAAATAACTTGGGGTCAAATGCTTTCAATCCTGTTTGAACCTATTAAACCGATTACGACGAGGATCACAAAGTATATGTAAAAAGTTGTAAAATTATAAAAATGAATATTTAGCGGCAAAAAGGTTGTGCAATAAACTGTAGGAATAAACTATTACTTACTTTTTAATTTCAAAATGTTCAAAACCTCGAAACCCTAAAGCTTGATACTTTCTTTAAGTATTATTTTATAACTGTGTCTGGGTGTAATTTATTTTTATTTATTTTTATTTATTTATACATCTTTATTGTACACCGCTACAGTATATATTGTACAGACATGGATGGACATCTACATGTGGTATTACATATTACAATTTACCTATAATATGTATGTATTTAAAAATATATAAGTATGTTTATCAGCAGTATGGTTACCATAGTACAGGCTCTGCCTAGTTTGGGATCAGACAGCCGCGTGTGAGATGTGTGAAGTTGTTATTATTATTTATTGTAGAGATTATAATTTTCCAACTTTTCTCATATGTTTCTTAAGTAGTAGTGTGTTCAGTAACAAGTTTTCCTCGTTTTCTTACGAATACCTAAAAATGATCTTAGTTTCTTTGTTTGCGACTGTAATTAACGTGTTTTTTTTTCTTTTTATTGCTATAATATTCATAACTTCGAGTACGATTGTTAGTAGGATTAAATTTAATTATAATAATTAGTTATAATGTGCATTTTTATCATCTATGTGACGATCATGTCATCTATTAGAGGTGTCCAGTCTCAGGCTTACTGTGTACAATATTTCACCGCTTTTACTGTGATCAGTTTATTATACATTAAGCTATGGTCTGATGGTAAACGATTAGTGTTGAAAGCAGATCACATTGAAGTTCAAATATATATACAGAGGTCTAAAGACGTATAGCTAGCTAGCTACGTGGACAGCACATTCTACGAGCCGACAAAAAATTTACCAAACTCATTTTTAAACTTCCTCCTTCCAATTTGCTTTAATAGCTCTCCCATTACGTAAATGTGGCTAAAACATTAAATTCCTACTTCTAATTTGCTTTAATCTAATCTTCAATACTACCCTCAAACAAGGTAAAACTTACGCCACTGCCCAACGAAACAATCAAACAAACAAACATGCGTCTTTCGTATGTATGTATTTCGTATTTCTATTGCAGATGTTTATCTTGAGGATGTAGCTTCTGACCTTCCAGGTTTTTTTTTCAATTTATCTGTCAATTTACTGCGCAGATTTTTAATTAATACAGATAAACAAGCTATAACGCCTTCTATTAAATTTTGTTTTCAAAACGGTTTGGAAAATTATAATACTTATGGCTTTCTGTTTTATTGACGTGGAATAATGGCGTAGTGGTTTAAGCGGTTTCCTCGCCTCTTGTTATTGAGCTGAGTGTTCTGGGTTCGATCCCCGCATGGGACAGCACTTGTTGTGATCCACAAATTGTGTATTTTGATACTGAGTGTTCTTTTTGTCCGTTTTACAAATGTTTCTAAAGTCTCTCCCGATACAGGATATATCCCTCATGCGGGCGTTGTTTTTTCATAAAAAAAATGGCATGTGCAAATGTTTATGTATATGTCATTAAACTTACGTCTTTATACATATTAAAATAAGTATGTTTTTTTTTTCAGGCGAAAAATGATATATTTGTTATTAGTATTAAACTTCACGGCATTTGCAACTGCAGTATTAAGAAGAGGGGTTTGCGATGCGTGTCTTGACAGCGCCTGTTACAGCAAAACTCAAATATTTAAAGATTATCCAGTATCAGGCCAACTGGCCATCGATAGAAAGGAGAACCTAGTCTATTTCCACTACGAAGTGTCCGACTCAGGTCGTACTGTTGCCTTCGATTTGGATGATATTAGATTCCTAACTATACCTGACATAGAGTTCTCATTCGCAAAAACAGTCGATCCGACAACTGGAGATGTTTATATCGGCGGTGCGACTGGCATTTACAAATATAATCCTAAAACAAACGTGACATCTGTATATGCTCTTAATGACAAAGCTATTTGGAATATGCAGTTCAAAGACGTATTGTATTATACGATTGTCATGAATAAAGGGTTGAATATTTATGAAAACAAACGATCAAGAAGCGTAACTGCGTTAAATGATTTTGTTGTAGACGATTTTATTATCGATAAAAAGGATAATATATATTTTATGAGCAATTTTACAATGTATAAACTGAAGAAAGGAGATAAATATCCTAGTGAATTTTCAAATATATTATACTCTTTGTCGACTGATGTTCATGGGAATGCATACTTTGTACAAAGAGAATCTCGGGGTCTTTACAAGATTGATTATGGAACTGGTAGATTAGTAGAAATGGGCGCTTTTGGGAGTGGCATTCCGTTGAAATCTGTTTTCGATAGACTAAATAATGTTATATATTACGATGCTGAATCCAGTAAGCTGTACTATTTAGTGCCTAATTATGCTATATGTAAAGTGAAGACTGAGACGGATATACTGGGGAAACTGAAAATGAAAGTGTCTCAGATATAAACGTTTTGCGGATTTCGTAAGAGTTTGAATAGGTAAGTCTGTGGGTTTATGACTGGAACGCTGTACAGATCACAAATAAAATCTGAGAAACAGCATTGTTTACTACAATATATCTTTAGGTATATAAAGAACTAAATCTGACATTTAGTGATAACAAAATATATTTTGGTTTATTTATTGAATGTGGTATTTTATTTGTGTAAACTATGAGAACTGTTAATACGTCTATAATAGAGTATAATTCTAGAAGAAGACATTGTGAGTGACACATTTAGGGCTATGCAAAAAAACTTGTAAAGTTACTGAGAATTTGAATACCGGGCGATACCTTTGTTTTATTTTGTCATTATGTTATCCTCAGAAGAATAGACTGTTGTTTTGATTTGTTTTGGCTTTATTTTTGGTCCAACGCTGTTCGACGAGATTTGTTACTTGCCGGCAGGCTACGCTTGAAGATAAATCGATATTTTAAGAATGGATTGATAAAATTAGCATGGATTTCAGATTAAATTTTGTTATAACAACATAACGCAAATTCTATAATCTCATAATACCACAGAAAGTAAAGTATATAATATAAATTGACTGATTTCAGTATTTTTGTGACGGTCGTTGATACTTTTAAATCTCTAATATTTTCTAAAATATTCATTTTAATGATATGATGTGATAATGTAGATTGAAATTGCTGAAATTCCAGAAAGAGCAATTATAATCTACATTGCAAATGCACAACGTATCTAATTGTATAAGAAATAATAACCCATAGGTTAAAATAGCTTCGTGAAATTATTACATTTTTATTTAAAAGATAAAAATGATTACTGTGGGTTATCCTTGGGAGATAGACATATGCCACCGAGGACTTTTTTGTAGATCTTTTAAGATATACAATTCCCTATTATTTTATTTTCCAGCTTCTGCAATGTAAAACCATGTTTTTTTCAGACAAATCATGAAAATTCTCGGATTTCCTCTACTATAATATGCATGTATTATACAAATAAACCTTGCACTTAAATTACTCTCTCTCTATTGGTGACCGCATTGAAATCCGTTGCTTAGTTTAAATGATCTAAGCGTACCACACAAAAAAGCGACTATATTTTGTATTATGTAAAGATAATAGATTCCGAGCGGCAGTCGGATTTGAAACATTCTATTAGATTTGTTATAGGCTATTTAACTATATGCTACTAACCTTAAAGGCGTAGGCCTTAGGCGTAAAGTAAGGAGTTATATTACAACTAGATATTACAACAATAATAATATCAAGTTCGAATTAAGTTCGATCTGATGTGTATAATCAGAAATGTATAAGTTTGTTAAAACATCTTCGTATCAGCTGATACACATACGAATGACGTTATAACTGACTGCCACAAGGTCAAGTTACGGTCATCCTTATCTCGTCAGATGCAAGATATTTAAAGTTGGTTATAAGAAGTTACGCCGTTTGTCTGTACGCGAGAATACAACCTTGATTGTGTCAGGGATTCATCAGCTCAATAATACTATTACGGTCGCCTCGATTGGAGACTTGTAGAACTCACGAGTGTTCGATTATATTCTAGAAATTTCCAGAAGGGTATCAAATCTATCAAATTATTATAAGATTTTTTTGACATATTCCATGCTACAAACAAACTCAGCCAACACAGTAGAATTAAATTCTGTAAATCGCATGTTGACTTTAGTAAATGTTAGTGCTTGTCGGATCAACTCGTCGACTTGAACCCAAAAACATGTCTTCTTTTAGCCGGTCGTTACAAAAAGAAGCGTTCATCATCATCATCATCATCATCATAATTATCATCAACAGCCTTTAGTAGTCCATTGGCTCGCCATAGGCCTCTCCTTAGAAAGGAGGGTTTGGTATAGTAATACCACGCTGGCCAGACGGGTAGGTATAGGCTTTGTGTCAACTTTTCTTTCTTTTGTAGTGCCGTTGTCCTGCGCAGTCTACTCCCTTAGTCGGCTCTTATAACACCCACGGGATGAATAGGGATGGTGACACTCCGTATTCTTAATCCGTCACCACAGGGAATATGCGTTTATCGTCTGTCAACTGCAGATGGTTCTAGAATAACTGAAAGTCGACAGCGACTTATGCATTTAAAAAATCTCAGTATTGGTTGGGCCAGCTGATAACTGATCACTAAAAGGTGTAACTCAAGGTAGAAACTTTCTTAATCTTTATAGAGGAGATCAAGGTGATTCAGTCTTAAGTAGTTAACGATGAATGTTGAAGTAATTATCATGTCATGGACTTTAAAATACTTCTGCTGATAAGAATAAACAACAGCAGCGTTATAACAAACACCAAGTTTACAACTTAGTTCGTACTTTTAAGTTTAAATGTGTATGTAACACGCAATGTCGTTTGTACAGACGATAGAATGTGTCCACAGAGCTGAGAATATTTGGTTAGAGTGGAATCAATTGTATTTTTGACTCTTACAGGGAGCAAAACAGACGGGTCCTGATAGGTAACTGTTATATTATTATAATAATATAATATATAATATTGTACCACATTTACACAACGCCATCTAGTCCCAAACTAAGCAGAGCTTGTACTATGGGTACTAGACAACTGATATAAATACATATATACCTTTTTTTTTTTGTAAATACATACATATTATACATAGAAACACCCAGACCAAATCAAACATTAAGTGTTCATTCACACAAATGTTTGACTTGAGCGGGAATCGAACCCGCGACCTTCGAAATAGCAGTCCGTTACACAAACCACTACTCCATCCGGTCGTCGATTTTTAACAGCGATTATTAACAGAATACTTTAACATTTTTATTGTGACATTATCTTAATAAGAAAAATTAATCAAGTTCGAATGTGTATGTAACACGCAATGCCTTTTGTACAGAGAGACGATAGAATGTGTTCACAGAACTGAGAATATTTGTATTCTGTTTCAAATCGCTTGTTTTAAACACTACAACGATAATTTCTATATGTTAATTAAAATCGACTCACTTCGAGTCAACCGAGAATTGCATAATGCTTTGTCATTGTTTATTAAAATTAGATAAAAGCAAAAATTTTAAGACTTACCGGTGAAATGATAGATAGATAGATAGATAGAATGATGTCCTAATTTGGAAACACTGCATTTCTGACCCCTTTTTTTCAACAAATAAGCTAATGAATACATAAGTAGTAAATAAGGCAGTAAATAAATAAATAATTATATAACTGAAAAATAATTTAAGAAATTAAAAATTGTTTTTTGAATTTCGAGATCTGCTCACGTTCACCTTTTACTTGTTTTCGATTCGATTAAAGAAAAGATGACGTGATGAAGTGATATTCGTAGCTCTGACCGAACCGTTGACTCCTGGCTGGTTGGTTGACTTGCAATTACAGGAATACGACAACCTCGTAAAAAGTAAACTGCAACCAAATTTTTTTGTTATCCGATTTTATGCCGAAAAAATCAGAAGCTTCTATGACTGTACGAGATTTCACAGAGTAAACCATATTTTAAGTGGGGATTTTAGGATCAAATTAACAATAAGTAAAGAGCTCTAAACCACGAGTAAAGAGAGTGAGAGCTCTTTCTTTGTTGATGATTAATCACCTATTAATTTAAAAGAGGAACTATAATTATATCTCTTGCCATCTCCTACCGTACCCTACGATATTTTCCTACGAGAAGAGTTAAGTTTAATAATACTTGAAGGTAACTAACAACTTAAGATATGTAATATCCAGTTTCATGATTGAAAACTTGAGATGTAAGATGTAAACACAGTCTAAGGCTCTGTACGTATGTTACGGTTAGGCGACTGAACGGCATAATAAATTTTATGATACACAATTTATGTAATAATAATAATATTAAAGACAACTCCCGCACTTAGGAATACCAATATCCTGTGTCGCGGAAGACTTCATTCATGAAACGAACACAAAAAACACCCAGACTCAGAACAACAATTTGTGGAAATTAAAGTGTTGTCCCATGTGGGGTTCAACACACAATACGCAACGCAGGGATCGCTTAAACTACTACGCCATCCGTGCAGTCATGTAAGGCTTATTTTATATATATTTTAGAACAAAATGTTTAGAGACTGAAAGGTATATGGTTATTTATTTTATTCTACAGATAAGGCAAAAGTAACGCACGCAATTCTTGGTCATTTCTTTCTTCTGAACAGAATGCCTCGGGTAGAAATATATTGAATTAAATACCCGTCTGTGTATTACAAAAATAATTTTATATTAAGATTTTAGACGAGAAAAATGAAGAAAAAACTTAATTATTCACAATGAAGAGACAGGTAACAGGCTGTTTTCTTTCCATTTACAAATGATTACCAAAGGTAACAAAATAATTTTCTCTTTATAGCTTTACTTAACGCAAATTCTCCTTGTTCCGAAATTGAGGAACGTATTTAAAAATAAAAGGAGGTTCTTGTACATTTTTTTCTTGATCTACCTAATTTTTGTAATGAATTACATTATATGTAAAATGTTTTTTTATTTTTGTCCCTTGATTGCCTTGAAAATATTTGGCTTTGATTTTTCGGTAAACCGTGACATTAAGTAAAAACTCGAATTCGGATTGATACTTAACTCGAACTCAGATTGATACTGCTGTGTAGAGTTGTTTGCACATCTTGTATACCCATAATGTATTCACGTGGGAGACTCATGCTTCGACGCAAATGGGCTGGCTCGACAGGAGCGATTCTTTCCTAACTTCCGAAAGAGTGAGGTTACCGGAGCCCAACCCTTCTTCCTCCTGATCCTGGGGCAAGACTCAAAGGACGGCAAAGCACTTGTGACTCATGAGTTGCAGGTATCAATGGGTAGCGGTGGTTACTTACCATCAGGTAACCCCTGCTCATTTGCTCTTCTGTATCATAATCAATTTTTCAATACATATGTAGTTTTTTTATTGTATAGGGAGTTTTTTTTTTCCATAAAATAGGAGTGGCAAGCGAACAGACCGGTCACCTGACAGAAAGTGACTACCGACGCCCATGAACGCCTGCAACCCAGGAGTCACAAGCGCGTTGCCAGCCTTTGAGGTAAGACGATCAAGACGACAAAAAGTGTCCGATTAATACCGCTTACAATCATCTGCTACTCTGCTGCATGCTGCTAAGAGACATATTTTGACGTTTTTAATGCCCTTAGAACTCGATGCGAAGTTAGTGCCTCCGGTAAACTCAATCACTCCGTAAAAGGCAAGGAAAGAATTGATCAAAGGTGGTTTTACACCAGCGAGGCGGGCGTGGATAGGCCGGGCGAGAATCGAAATTTGTATGGCAATTTTTTTATCTTCGGTGATGATGATGATGTAATCCGACCGATTTCGGCCATGGCGACCACTTCGACCCCTTATGGGACCTGGCGGACCTATCTTCGGTATAAAAGGTCTAGATGCGAGAGGATGCGCTAGGCGAGAATTCAAACATTTGTAACCAATATTGAACTTAAATGCTCTAAGAATAGAGTATTTATTTACTTTGTAAAACAGATATAACAGTTTCTCTCCGTCTAGAGTTATCTCGCGATGGCACGCGCTGGCACGCGCTGGCTCCCTCTGTCCATCACGAGACATCGCTGTATACTATTATCTAAGTCAAAGTGCTACTTACATGTTTTTCTTAGTTTTATTTATTGATAAACAAATCTGAAATAAATAGAAGTACACGGCTCACATTATTGTTGTTCACTTAATGTAGGTATGAATAACAACAAAATAGTTATAGTTACCTTTAAAAAATACTCGTTGAACATCAATATATGCATTCCAAATAAAATCAAACTTGCCATTATATTTCATGGATGAAGTAGAACATAAAAGACGGGCTGACAAACAATTAACAGACACAATAGCAATGGCTCTCTCCATAAAAGGTAGAGGGTGCGCGAGACACGGCTGGCCGGCCCGTAATAGTGCGAGCTGGCGCGGAGTAGTGATTGCCAGCGCGTGCCATCGCGAGTCAGTACTTGGTAGCGCTGGACATCCTTGGCTATAAAAGTGTAAGCGTGATTTCAATTCACGCCCATCCCCATCCACGCCTCGCCTCGAAGTAAAACTAGGTGTAAAACTACGTTAACACTGGGTTTTTGTAAAGCCGTGGTATCAATTAGGCCCAGCCGATCCGTATGTGCGTTAGCGTAGCTCTCCCGCCGTGCATTGTAAATAAAGGAGATTTTTGTATTTATAAAAATATATTTCAATAGGTATAGGTTTAACACAGGTATTTATGTAAACAGTCAATTGTCGCTGATGGAAATCGCGTTCCCTCTTATTGTCTGACTTCGACCTAAGGCTAATGTTTACAAACTGTTCTTAAAAGTCGTCCCATCAAGTCTCTTTCGATGAATTTCTCAGTTAGTCTCATGTAGATCGTGTTGCTTATACAATTGGTATCAGCCACTTCTAATGGTGAGTGTCTTATTTGCTAGTTGTTTATTTTATCTTATTTTATTTTTTGAAGTTGAGAATAAGTGTTGGTGTATTATATTTCATATTTCAATTTACTGGTAAGGATAGTCAAACAATGAACAGGCGACAAGTGATTTACACTTAGATGTTTTTAAGTAAACTTAGAGCATGTATAAAAATTTCAAAGACATCCTCCATCCCAAAACCGCAACCTTGTCATAACTTAGATTTAAACTGCTGGGCCCACCAATACAGAATATTGTGTAAAATGTACAACTAATGGTGTTTCAAATTATTATTCTTTATCTGTTTTGTTCTTTTTTTAATTGTATGTACACAAAAACTCTGTTAGTCACGTGATTCAATTTTGTTTTTACTGTATGCTCTTGTTGTGCAGTCGCAATTTGGATCTAACCTAGCAATGCATTTATCTAATTCTAATAAAGTAAATTAAACTAAAGTCTAATCAGTAAAGTTACAGTTTCCTTTGTTAGAAGAATAGGAATTAGTTTCCAATCCGATGACTTTCATGAGGAAGAAATTGAAGTAAATCATTTTTTAAATAGCACTCAGACGGAACAGGGGACGTAGTGAATAGAGAAATACCTATGGATTTACTTGGTAATTCTTTTTAACAACAGTTCCTGTCATCTAACGACGCGCCCGTCGGTCTAGTGGTTAGTGACGCTGACTGCTAACCCGGAGGTCATCGGTTCGATTCAAACCCCGTACAAATATTGTGTGATGAGCACGGTCATTTGTTCTGTGTCTGAGTGTAATTTATTTATAATATGTATGTATTTAGAAATATATAACACAGGCTCGGCCTAGTTTGGGACCAGACTGCCGTGTGTGAGATGTGTGAAGTTATTATTATTATTATTATTAAAAAAAACTAAGTATATCTGCCAGTCTCTTACACGGCGAATACAACGCTGATGACTTTCATGAATAATAGTAGATAGGTTATAGTGTTATTCTAAAATATTTTTTTAAGGCCATTAGTTACTAATAACTTACATCTTTCTTTTTAGTTGGTCATGTTGATGCTCGTGACTGTAGTGATGATTGACTACGTGCCTACTGAGGCTACGAGTGAATCAGATTTTTACGTAAGTTTATGTCAAACATTAATTTATTTTACTGTATGCTAACAAGCATTAAAGAATATTAGCGGCGTGACTTGTATTCTTCCTATCCTCGCGACCTGAAAGGTTTTGATGAGTAATCATCAAAGGTCCAAGTGCGAGTTTATTTCACTTCTGCTTTCCGATTGGCCCGCATTGAAGTCTCCACCAATCGCAATCGCTAAACGCGCTGGCCGTCAAGAGTGAGTCGATGTGAAATAAACTTACACCCAGCCCTCAGAGCTCGTTCTTCGTTCGAGAGAGGCATGCTTCGTCTCAAACAAGATGGCTTGACTGGAGTTATACCAACACCTTACAGAAAACCGGTGTTAAGTAATTCTATCGTTGCTGTTCATCGAGAGAGTGAGGTAACCGGAACCCAAACTCCACTTCCCCTGATTTTCTCTGGACTGGAGGCTCGAAGGCCGTTTTGACTCTTAAGATGCAGGTGTTTATAGGCGGCGTTAGTATTTACATTATGTGACCCTTCTGTTCGTTTACCCGTTAAGAGAGGGGACTACTTTCTCCAGTCTCTGCCCACATGTGGATTTCTTTTAGTTAATATCGATTTATTTTAGATATTTAGTAGAAGATATATTTTTAAATTTTATTTTTTCAGGAACAATTATTTAAAAAAACATTTCATCAAGACAGTCTGAAAATAAATCGAAATCAACCTTCGAGGTTCGAGGATGAAGAATACAGAGCACAGATGAAAATAAAAATGATAAAGAAAAAAGAAATAGCAAAGAATATGACACAGATGACATCGACTCAAGAAACTATGAAACAGCAAACTGTGATACAAGACAATGTGATACATAAGACACATAAAGAATTGAAGGTTATCCACGAGTGTACTCCAGATGGCAAGAAGTGTTCTGATTTTGAAGTAGATTTCACAGACAGAGAAGATCACAATACACAACTGGTTGATGGAATGTTTGTAAATACAGACAACGAAATCACTAGTATTCAGGTAATGGTGTTATAGGTATAGAACTTAGAAGTAGTACAAAAATAACTTAAAATTTACACGCATACAATTTACACGATATTCAATGAAATTTAGTACGGTATTTTCTACAGAATAGTACAATTTATTGTTTCAATAAGCAATTAAGAAATAAATAAACAACTTCTTTAGCGCGGTTATACGGCCTTCTATGATCCTTTTTTAGTTGGGTGGCAACACTGTGATACCAGCCACAAAAATGAAGGTTAAAACTGGAAAAAAACTATAGAAAGATTCTTCTACAGTATCGTATTTTCAGTGAGACTATCTATAGAAAAAAAGTAGTATTAACTGTTTTTAATATTAAGTTACTTTTACTTTGCAGGCCCATGAAGTAGAAGACCCATATTTTCCAAGGTTAGTAGACAGGGTCAGGGGTTTGTTTTGACGACAGTCATGAAAATCTTGCGGTATAAAACCTTTTTAGGATTAGATAAATAAATATTTTTTTACAAAGTATTTTACAAAGAAATTTACAGTTTCACAATATTTGTCTTATATGCTAAATTTAGGGGTGCTGGTTTTGCTGTATTACAGCAAAAAAGTCTTACTTAATTACAAGTTATTGCGATATACATTGTAATGACTTTTTAAACATGACACTTAACTTACATTTTTTGGCCCGCACAACTAAACTGTGGAACGGGTTATCGTCTGCGGTATTTCCGGACCTACAAACGTACCGATACGACCTTCAAACCTTCAATAGAAGAGCGTACTCCTTCCTAAAAGGCCGGCAACGCGTTTGCGACTCCTGAGTTGCAGACGTTCATGGGCGGCGATGGTCACTTTCCATAAGGTGACCCGTCTGCTCGTCTGCCCTCTCTAACATAAAGAAGAATAATATATATATACGCGCTTCAATTCTGATTAATTTGGTTGCGTTTTCCAAGACAATTTAACTTTTACTGGGACTTCCCAAGTGTCATTACTCGGTGTGTTCGTGGGTCACCGTTGTTGATCCTGGTATATAGGAGTTACAGTAGTAGAGTTATGTGTGGGAGGTATTAGTCCTATTAAAAAAAAAAAAAGATTTCTTATTATAGTGTTTTATGAAAAAGAAAACTTTTTGGCTTTCAAATAAGTAAGTGTAATCTTTCCATTCACGAGGATACTTTTTCGCTTCGTCTTGGTCATTTGCAAAATCGTGACATCATAGACTATACCCGCAGCATACACATGTTTGTCACGTATATAATAAGAAAGATTATGTATCTTGCCCTTGTCCGTATTCGAATAGTTGAAAAGAATCATGTCCTAAATTTGATTATTCTCTCAACGGAATAGTTGACATGTTTCTTTATTTGGAAGAGATTTGCTCACGTCTTGACGTGCGTGATTTTTACAACCGAATAAGTTATTAATCATGAACAGTTTCTGCATGAATGGTACCTTATATCACTCTCTGTATCCCTCAATGTGTGCAAAAATGTATGGCGAGACAGTAGCTGTGCCAAAAAAAACAACTCACTTCATCATCATCAAATCAGAGAAGAAGCCAATTGACGTGTTTGTCCTAGTGGACGGACATACGGTAGGTAGGTAGGTAGGTAGGTAGGGACACGCGGCTTTAGGCTGTTTTGGTCTACTCTAATCTCAGTTCTATTTCCTCATCTAAGAATCATGGTATCCTTCGCGCTTGTTTCCTCGCCTATCCGTTTTCCTTACCTCAGTGTCTTCCTTAAGCCGTTCGTTCTACTGTTATACGTCGCGCCGATCCTAAAAATGTGGAGAATACCCTTTTTCTTTTGGTGATTAAAGTAAGGTAAGTAAGGAAAATAAAATCAAAGCAACCTGCCCTTAGCCTACCCTTACTTGCCCTTACTTGGTGGTAGGTGCTTTCCACTTCTAATTTACAATTCTTACAGTACCAACACCACTTACTTCTCGTATGTTGTTTACCTGTTCTTTTTGTCCGTCCGTCTGTCTGTCAAGACCCTTTATTTTTGAACTCGTGGAGAGGTATAGACTTGAAATTAAAGCCACCTCAGGTCTACAGTCCCTTGAAGCTGTGAAAAATCATACTTCTAAGTTAACGTAAAAAATGATATAAAAGATTTAAGATGTTGTTTTGTAGATATAGCAGATGTACTCATGGACGTGACGATAAATAAAGTAATTAATTTCTTTACTTATTGATAAATCAAGTCTGTGGTATCTAGTCCAAAGAACTAGTTCAGCATATGCCAAGTCTGATTTTCAACCAGACAGTCTTCACCCCAGATATATCAGCTGACTAAAACCACCAGCTCTAAGAAATAAATTATTCTATGATACCCATTTTTTTTTTCTGTGCGGAAATCCCCTCGAATACCACTTAGACTTACCGGTGACAATGTCGGACTCGAACCGACTAAAACCGCACGCCGTCTCAGGTACCAGTAGTCCGGGAACCAGGTGTACCCTAAAAAGGCAATCCCTGGTGCCCCGACGTACCTCGGGCTATCTACGGCGGGTAGACGACCCCCCTGTTCCCTCTGCGCTCCCGGAAGGGCGAGCGCGCTTCTCAATGCGCTCGTCGCCACCCCGGCCTGCTTCTGCTAGGGTGACAGATGGCCTCACCTGTCACCCCCAGGCCGGTCGTTCTGCGACCTCCGGCGCCTGAGTCGTCTGCGGTACCTGGCCCGTTCCCGAGTCTGGCGGGCCGAGAGAGTTCTATACCTCTCCCGGTCCCGCTCCGCCATCTCCTTCGCAAGCATAACTTGCTCGCAGAAGGAGACGGTAGAGTTCCACGCACTCTAGCTCCGCACGATAGCCGCAATAAGGTTATCGAGCGAGAGAATACCCACTCCGACGGCCGCCACGAGGTCTCGCCTCTGCTCCACCCACGCCGGGCATTCTGCCAGAGTGTGGAGCGTCGTGTCCACGGTCCCACCATCGCAGTGGTGGCACTCAGGCGTTGGCTCCTTGCGGATCAGACACAGGTGATCCCCGAAACATCACCATCAGTGATCACCTGAGTCACAGTGATCACGCTCGATAGGGGCCCGTAATGCCTCTCGAATCGCCAATCCTCCATAACGGGTCTTACCGCAGCGATGACGGCGTGCCCGCGTGTTCAAATAAATGCCGCGGTAAATGTTGAACTGTCATACTTAAAAAAGGGGGGTGGGATAGTAGGTTGATAAATACTTCGGTCGTAAAGTGAAATTTTGTTTGAATTGAAAGAGTAATTTTTTGTATATCTTGTAATACCTATCAAACTTACAAAAGAATTAACATCAAAATCGGTCGAGCGGTTTCCGAGGAGTGCGGCCACAAACACTGTGGACATGATATATTTTGATTGTAATAATCTGAATTATTTTGAAGCTGAAAATTATTACAATCTTATGTTTCAGTGGTGCCGATGCCCAGAGCGATCCAGTACCGAATAATAGTGACGAAGACGCTGCATTTTCAAGATAGTAATTGTAAATAAAAAACACTGTAATAATATTTTTTTTGCTTTTGAGTTAAAAATGTTACGTTTTAATTGTTTTTTTCTACGTTGAGAACACAAAGAATTACCAAACTTTTTTAAAGTTTAAACCCTATATATATAAAAAAGCATTTCGATATTAATAGGTTTACAATTGTTTTTATTATTAAGTCATAGAATAAGGTTTCTAAGTTAACAGAATTCCGTTGCTATGTTAATAACACCCAGAATTACTTTTTTCTAAGTATTGCAGTGCAAGTAATTAATTTTATAATAGGAATCTAAAGATTTTTCTTTGTATGGTGTCAAAAAACCTCATGATAATATAAGCTACTGTTTCTCTACTCTACTAGTTTTTTTTACTCTTGTAACTTAAGTGACAAAATAATATTTAATAATTGAAAGTTTTTATTTTACTGCATATTAGTCACTGAAAGTTAAGAACATTTTTCTTCGATTTGTAAAAAATACAAGAAATCTCTCGTAGCTAAGAGGTAACCGAGTAGTGCAACACATTACAAAGTTAAGCAATCAAAGCCAGGTCAGTCTATGGATGGGTGACCATTATTAACGCAATAGTCACGTGTAGTTAGAGACCTAAAATTCCGACAACAGTGTTTCTACAGAACTTCGATATCGCCTAATACTTGGATTGTGGAGGTTTGATGGTAGACGGTCTGCGTAAAAATCGAAGTTCAGCCGTATCGTAGTAGACTTAATGCCGACCCCACCCTAGTTTTTGGACTGCACGGATGGCGTAGTGGTTTAAGCGGTCGCCACGCCGCTAAGTGTTGTGGGTTCGATCCTCACATGGGACACCACTTTGTGTGATCCACAAATTGTTGATCTGAGTCTGGGTGTTCTTTATGTCTGTTTCATGTATGTTTGTAAAGTCCCCCGTGACACGAAATATTTTCCTAGTGCGGGAGTTGCTTTTTAAAAAGAAAAGAAAGAAAAAGAGTTTTGAAAAAAGGCTAGGAGGACGACGAAGTTAACAAATATAAAATAAATAAACATACCTTCACGCCTATACCCCTGAGGGGATAACCAGAGGCCTTTTAAATGCAAACATTTAGCGAATTGTAATTTTGTCTCACTGACGCAATCAATTTAAGGATTCGGTGGGAAAAATGATAAGAAAAACCACTGTTATCTTAACACAACAACGAATATTTTCTTTTTACCTGCCTTTTTATCGTCAGGTTTTAAAATTTAAACAGCACTCGGGGTCACTATGATTGCAATTCGAGTCTTGTCCAGGTCAATATCGATACGTGCGGTGACTGCACTACTCTTTAATAGAAAAAAAACCTTTGATTACACAAATGTACGAGTTAGCTGAATTAAATTATTGTCTTTGGTATTTAGGTTGTATCCATGGGTTTGCCATTGTCTTATATTGCATAATTACAAGATAAATTTTGTTAAGATTGTTGAGTCTCTTTAAATTTAAAGATTTTATATGGTTACGATTGTAAGATTTTTAATTTTTTCGGAGAAATAAACACTGCAACACAGGAAGTCGATTGACTAGTTCCGGAATTCTGGAATAAGGAATACGAGGAATAGGGTATACGAGTATAAAACATACTAGCCGTTTCCTCCATTTTTAGTCGCATTTGTGGTGGCCGCTCTGATCCAAAGGTTCTTGCTTATTTCACAAAGCCCATAATATTCCTCCACAAATCAGTCAAAAGAGCTTTTGGAATCTAACAACCTGAACGTTAAATTTAAAAGAAAAAAACACTTATAGTCCAGATATAATTGTTAATCGAGACATAATTGCGACGTATAGAGACAGGTAACACTTATAATAGAAAAAAAAACATGGAATATTCAAGAGGTCACAACGACACTAAATCAGTTCCAGATTCGAATGGAAACGATCTTAATGGAAGTGCGATATTCAGGATGATAAATTTTTCGTTCGTTCAAACACATAAATCAAGCTTCTTAGATCTCGTCCTCTTTTGCAAACCCCTGATATATTTGATCGTTTATACGCACATCACTATCTGTAAAGGTCATATATAGTTACTTAGACTTAGATATGATTTTGAACGTATTGGCAGCAGCAGTCTTGAGCCAAATAAATAAAAACTTTACACATCTCACAAACGGCAGTCTGATCATAAACTAGGCAGAGCCTGTACTGTGGCAACCAGACTGCTGATAAACGTACTTAAGTATTTCTAAATACATAAATATTATAGATAAATTACACCCAGCCACAGATTAAAAAATCGGGCTCATCACAAATTTATTTGTCCTAGGTAGGAATCGAAAGCACGGCCTCAGATTCGGCAGTCAGGGTCACTAACCACTAGATCAACAGGCTCGTCCAGTCTCTTTATATAAATAAAGACTTTAATTAATTTTTATTAAAAGTCTCGTCAATCAATCTCAAGTCAATCTCTTTACTTTATTTACTGTTTGTGTGGTGCGTCGTCGAGAGAGGAGGCGGCAGCGTCGTGGCTAAAACTTCGGACTTTCGAATAAATGGATTTAAGTTCGAATCTCACCCAGTAGAATATCGTCGTCAACCCACTCATGCCAGTATTAAGCTTCACTGGAGAAGCACAACAACAACAGCCTATACTAGTCCACTGCTGGACATAGGCCGGGACGTCACTCTGTCTACGTTACCAGAAACTGGTTTGGCAAAAGTTTTTATTTGAAACCGAGAAATGCTCGTGAGACTATCGCAGTTTATGACATTTTACAATCTTAAATTGTACATTTCTTACTCAAAGCTTGAAATAAGATTGGGTATACATGTTGGAGTACATACTTATTTGTCAATTCAATTATTATTAAATGACTTAAGACACACATAGGACCTCGTACAAATTTCGGGCATATGTTATATTATACTGCACTGTTTAAAAAATTTGTACAGTAATTTAAGGCCACTAAAAAATATACTTATTGCACATGTTTAATAATACTCACCTCACAGATCTCACACACGGCCATCTGACCTCAAATTAGGTATGGTAGGTGCCCGTAGCAGTGGAGACCTTGGGCAGTTCAGATGCAGACGCTAAGGCGTTAGTTCATGAGTTGGGACGCAGGCTGAATGAAGTGAGTGGAGACTTCCGCTCATGGTCGTTCCTGATGCTGAGGTTGGCCATTGCCATTCATCAATGGCATGCTTGACTAGTATTATGTTTCTGTATAAAAAAAAATGTGATTTACGAATGAATCATTAATAAAATATTTTTTAATATTTACATATTACAGATAAAAGACGACCGGATGGCGTAGTGGTTTGTGCAACGGACTGCTATTCCAAAGGTCGCGGGTTCGATTCACGCTAAAGTCAAACATTAGTGTGCATGAACTTTTAATGTTTGATTTGGTCTGGGTGTTACTCTGTAAAATATGGATGTATTTACAAAAAAAAGTAAAAATGTATTTATATCAGTTGTCTAGTACCCATAGTACAAGCTCTGCTTAGTTTGAAACTAGATGGCCTTGTGTGAATGCGGTAGAATATTATTATTATAAATTAAAAAAAAAAAAAATTTTGTGCGGGTGACCCATGCGGTCACTAAGGCTAGTAGACGTTAGTGAAGTAGCAAAATAAGGACGAAAACGCTAAATGAAAAAATAAAAAGGATCTCTACTATGATTCATACATGGGCACCTTCAACACATTATCGAAGGATACTTCCAGGTAGACGGTTTAGTAAACAACATTGGATTTGGTTGCATCTTCCAATATACAAGACAGTTAAGAAAGATGGTATGTACGTGGTATAATAATCGCATATGAAAACTTCTTTTATCAAAATCTTATTCGTTATTTAACATTCTTTAGGTGTTAAAGGAAGCATTGCTTTCATTTATAGATTACTAGCTTTTACCTGCGGCTCCGCCCGCATGCATGTTGGTTATCGTGGTAAAAAGTAGCATATGTTACTAGCCGATAATCTAGTTTTCCTTTGGTGAAAGACTTTTTATATTCGGTTTAGCGGTTTAGGTGTGAAAGCGTAACAAACAAATATAAAATCATATTGTCACTTTTTATTAGTTTAAACTGTTTCTGTTTTGTGAGTTTTTTTTATTGTACCTGCATTTCGGCCTTCATCATCACACATCATCACATCAACAGCCTTTACTAGTCCACTGCTGGACATAGGCCTCTCCTTAGGAAGGTGGTTTTGGCCTACTATACTACGCTGGCCAGACGGGTTGGTATAGGGTTTGTTTCAAGTTTTCCTTCTCTCTATTGCCCTGCGTAGTTTGCTTCCTTAGTCGCCTCTTACGACACACACGGGATGAATAGGGGTGGTGACACTATGTATTCTTAATCCGTCACCACACGGCGGCCTTCATATAAAATAAAAAAGAAACATACTAGGTGTATTCTTCATTCACATAGTCGTTAGGCCATTTCTGCCAGACATTATATTGATCGGGAGTAAGGTGTATTCTGGGGGTTGACCAGATTTAAGTGTGAATGCAAAGGTATACTCCTTTATCGACCAAATATTCTCGTATGGGCCTTAGTACAGAGTCAGATGCAGTTTAACTACGGTCATTTGTGGAACCGATTATACCGCACAATATAATTAACTGGTTCAATTCCGACACGTTGAAGGAAGGAATTACAAGGCCCGTGTGATTTTTGTATCACCACTTAAAAATGTTCCCCAATTGGTTGTTCAAGAGCGTTAAGAATAGAAATGGCCGTGTCCTCAAACAGCAGCCATGTCGTCTTCATGATGTGTTAGTATTCAACTTGGAGAACATTACCAAATACCTCTTTGCTTTGCATACTAAGTTATTATCACTGCTGATTCATCGTTTCAACTGCAAAGAAAATTACTTTAAGTGAGACTGTTGATATGAAATGAGACTTCAGCTGTTTTGGTTTGCTTTTGTTCGTTTGATTTTTCGTTTGATTTTGCTCCTGATTCTAATGTACGAGTATAGGCAATGCAATTATTATAGGTTGGATTAGTCAGTAAAAAAGATATGA